CATGTTATCTTATTAATAGGATGCCCTCCTCCTCTCTTGATAATAAAGTCCCTTTCTCCATTTTGTTTCCTAATGATCCTCTCTTTCATACATCTCCCCGAGTGTTTGGCTGTGTATGTTTTGTTCATGACATGTCTCCAGGTCTAGACAAACTCTCCGCTCGCGCTCTCAAATGTGTCTTCTTAGGCTATTCTCGACTTCAAAAAGGATATCGGTGTTACTCTCCTGAAACTAAGAAGTATTACATGTCTGCCAATGTCACATTCTTTGAACAAACTCCTTACTTCTCTCCATCTGTTCAGGATGTTTCTATCCTCCAGCAAGTCCTTCCTATTCCAATGGCTGAGTCAAATAGCTCCACTGTCTCTGTCATTCCAAGTCTTGATCACAATCCTTCTACACCTGTTTCTCCACATACTGAGATCATCCCACACAGGGCCCCAATGGATAAATATCCTAACAAAATTCTTAGAATAATAACAAAAGCAGGAAAATAGTCCACTATAAAACTGGGTTCAGAGTTTCAAACTGCTTAAGTCTTCCCAAATTGCAACTGCTACTTCACCCTAACCTCATCCTTATGATAACTAATTACGGACTCTCTAGAGAGAAACCTTTTTGACAGCCCTACAACCATCAATATTGTCAACATTATATATCTAAAATGGACACAACAATACATTTATCCCTAAAGCAACCAACCTGATCAAGGTTCCAAACAAGATGTGGCCGAAATTTAGTCTCGAATGTAAGTGGGCCAACCTAGCAAGAAAAAATTATATGAGAGAATTAATGCATTAAAACAAAGTAAAAATGTCAAATTCAACACAATTAATCAAAGTAAAAGAATTAATCAAAGTGAAAGAATTGGAACTCAAAACACTAACGAAATCATATTAAAATATATGAAAAGATTCTAAACTCACTGTTTGTCCCTTATATACTTTCTCGATAGCCTCACTTGCAGCACTGGCTTTAAGAATAGCATCACTTGAAGCACTAGATTCAACATCATAACCTGATGCACGCCATCTTGGCAGGCCACCATCTAACACCCAAACTCTGTCATGCCCAAATACTCGGAACATCCTTCAAGCAGAAAGAAGATGTATTACTTCAAATATTTAGAAAAATCCATGTTTCCACAATCTACACAGTGTATTAATGTTCCCTTTTGTAGAACACCGAGGCTTACCACCAAACACGGGCTGCACTAAATAACCCTTTTCCATCATAAACAACCAAGTCATCTTTGTTCTCTATGCCAAGGGCAGAAACAGCAGCAGCAAAAGCTTCCTCAGATGGCAGCATGTGTGGTAACTAATCAATGAATACAAGTTAGCATTCACATACGATAAACCCTTTACTCATATATGTAGAAGAAGAGCAATAAATGTGGGTCATCCTCCATTGAAATGAATGGACCATGGGAGCAAATTAGGCCACTTGATGCAAAGACAAATCAAGAGGGAACTGGTGGAATGATTTGCACAGCAGAGGGAAGAGACAAAAAAGAAGGGGATGTTGAGGTTTTTAACAGCAAGTTCAGCGGTAACAAGCTGAAAGGAGAGGAGTGACTCTGGACTATAACCAAATGATTTAGGAATCACTGGTATCATGAATGAAGATGGAATTCATATGAATACGGGGGTGAGAACTGAAGAGCTGGAATTGAGTGAATTGAATTACGAGGAGTCTTGGAGTTCTCTTGTATTTGTAACTATTGAGTATCTATTTTGCAGCCTTTTTCTTGTTGTTTTGCTCTGTATTACAGATGGCTACCTCTGAAATATCAGAGCTAGTTTCCGCACCTTCCTTTCAATAACACTTAGTTCTATCAACATATTAGCTATAATGGAGAAAATGAATTATATATTAACAGGCAGGAAATATAGCACATAGGACAGGAACAGACTATAAAACAATCATGAAACCAATAAGATTACTCATAGAACAAAACTTCAGAAAATGAATAACCATACTATTCTAGCAGAAAACTATAATTTATAAATAGAAAAGAAAGAGTTTTCAAGAATTGAAATAGTAAACAAGTATCCATCAAAAGGAAGTAGAAAAAACATTCAGTCATCATTCTAAGATCACTGAAATTGCAAAATATCCTTTGGCAGTTGGCACTGACGTGTATCTAGTTAGGTTATTTCTCTTTCTTCATCCACTTTCTGTAGCATGCCACTGAAAGATCAGAATATTACATACTAAACATGTAAACCTTGTTAGCTTATAAGAACCACTCAAACATGAATGTGCTTCATAAAAATAACAAAACGAATGAAATAAATAAGGAGATACTGGATTACCTTTGTAGTACGATCTGCTATTCCATCTACGTCAAAGAAAAGGGCACCCGGAATATGAGCAACCTGTTATTGAAGTACGCAATTCACACATTAAATGAAAACGGTAGAAAAAAGAAGTCAAAATTATATAATGAAGTACATGCAAGAGAACATGTTCAAGTGATATCATATATCATTCAATTACTCCAAAATTTGATGCACTAAGAATGTGATTTCCAATAAAATCATGCTGATACCTGATATTCTTGAATTGGATTCCTCTGCTCATCTGGCATGTACCATGAAGCATCCAGTACCTGAAACACAAATTATAGGCAAGAAAAGTTTAAGTATGTTAATTAATATTCAAATTTAATAGTAAATAAGGATAACATGATATAAAGGCTCCTTTTTTAGCAGATCATGCATATGTAGTATGGAGTTTTAAAGAATTAGAAATAAATTCAATTGATGCCAATCACATCATATTGACCATATAAATCTAAACAGCTTTATAATCACCTAAATAAGTGATTGAATGACTTAGAAGGTACTATAAACCAGAACTATCATGTTTGCTAATTTTAATAGACATCAATTAATAAAATATACTCTTGAAACAATACCATTCTCTAACTGGAAATACAGTGATTTTACCAGTGCCTAGATTGTTAATTACAAAGTTAACAATCAAAAGAACAGGGCACTTTAGTTAAATAACTCACATACTGTATAGTTTGACAAGAGATGTCACTAGTGAGATATATGGTTAGGCATGACAATGGTAGAGATCAATCAAATAAGTAATTAAAAAAATCAAGTGAAATTTCATTTTCCCAAATATGATAAAATTAGTAAACTGTTTGCTTAATCTGATAAAATTAGTAAACCCTAATACCTTGATATCTGGCATCTTCAGGTTATCATAAAGCCAATCAACAGAAACAACTGGCTCATTTGTTGATACAGATTTTGTAGAATATGTAGCTCTTCTACCAACTGAGGAAGAAGCCATACAAGGAACCCAACCAGTTGTTTTGCAGTTTTGGGAAGTAGAAACTGGGACCGGGACAGTTTGTATACAAAACAGCCGTTTCTGCAAGTAAAACGGTGAATTTTACAATAATATGTCGGCCAAAATAACAAACAACGCAGAAATAGATTAATGGGTTATACCGATGAACATTGGTTTTGTAAGCATAAGAGATGAACAAGTCATCATACTATCATTAATATATAATTGAAAACCCTTTCTTTCAATTTCTTCAGTAAAATGTTATACATAACAGCACCAGCTCCGGATTTTGCATTGTATCATTTACATACAGTTATTGCACAAATATGTATTTCAAAGACTAACTGCGATTTCTATGAAATTACCAAAGATTCACTAATATTCATAAATTACTAATTTAAAATGCAACCAAAAAAAATTAATACTTGCATTCGAATTGATGAAAAATTGGTAATCTTTTAATCCAGTTCATAAGACCAAATAAAATCAAAATCCATCCCCAGCAGATACAATTTACTTCAAAAGGAAGAAGAAAAGACCCAGCCATCCATACCAATGTATTATGAAAATGTTGATGAGCACTTCGGTTGATACACTTACTTAAACACCAAACACTAAAAAATTGAAGTTGAATGAAGCAAATACCATGGCAAATTGCCACCAAAGCATATCACCTAACTGTTCAATAACAGAGAACAGAAACAAAAAAAATTGGACCAAAACAAACCCCAAACCCCACACTCAAAAGTCAAAACTTTAATGAG